ACCAGATCACAGATATTGTTGAATACAATATGTGCCAGTCTTTAGTGGGATACCTGTAACCAGATCACAGATATTGTTGAATACAATATGTGCCTATTTGCAGCACATTTAAAATAACGACAAAAAGCTCACTAAATACAAAAATAAAACTACTCATTGCCACAATGGCTTAGGCTACTGGGCAAGCTGCACAAGAGGCTGGTGTAACTGCTCACCTTTCTGCCACATAAGCTTTGAAAGTCTCCGGCACAGAGGAGAAGAGCTCAAAGTTGGCAATCTCTAGAGTCCTCACTTGAATGGGCTCACACAGTTCCACCACAAACCTGGAACAGAACAGGAAACAGAACATAATGGGTAATTTCTTCAGCTTCTACAACTCTCAGCATTGTATAAAAGATACCCTTGACAATTACATATCTAATATTAAAAAATGTCTTCATGCTCTCTACATGTGAATGGACACTTTCAGTCCAGTTAAAACCAGTTTCAGGAAATAAGGAGCACACCTTAAACCCACAATTATTTGCTGTCACTAAGGTTAATGACATACTCACCATTTCTTGATGTTGCAAGGGTTAATCACGTACTCACCATTTCTTGATGTTACAAGGGTTAATCATATATTCATCTTTGTTCTCAGTGAGGACAGACAGGGTATCTCTAGCTTCAGGGTTGTGAGCCACCAGCTTGGCACCACAGGACTTGGAGGCATAGTTGATGTTGGGTTTCTTCACTGACTTGGTGTTGCCGTTGGTGTGGGGGAGCACCTGCTGGTCTACAGTGATTTTACAAGTAAATAACTTTGCATTAAAGTTGGTGTGGGGGAGCACCTGCTGGTCTACAGTGATTTTACAAGTAAATTACTCTGGGTTGTATATTCATCAAATATGTGTCATTTCTCAGACAGGGTACTGGTATGGCAGAAAGGTCAGAACATTTGATAGACTTCTTTAATGACATTTCTTACAGTCTTCAATAAAACGTTGTTCCTTACCAGCTAACACCAACAGGCTGTAATGTATCCCCAGTCAATACTCTACTAAAACAATGCAATCAACGTTAACCTTTTTCTCAACTACATCAACTGTATAAAACAGCCACACAGCAAGGCATAACTTACCATCTTGTTTTTTCTTCTGTTCCTCTGCCAGCTTCTGCTGTGCCCAGGCATCAAAGGGGAGGATCTCTTTGTCTGAGGAAGGCACTATGGGCTCATCATCTCTGCTGACAGGGGGCACAACCGTCTTCTGCTCCTCTGTTGGCCCAACTTTTGAGGAAGGTTCAGTTTTATCAACTTGGACAGAATCTGGGGTCTTCTTGATATGACCATCACCTGGTGGTGTTACGCCACCTGGTGGTGGTTTTCTTTCCTCTGTCACATCTTCACCTGGTTTCTTTGTACCACCTGTGCTGCCATCTTCAGAAGTTTTCTGACCATTGTCTACAGGAACATCTTGCCCAGAGGCTCCATCTAGTTTTGGTTCCTGGATCCTCTGCTGTGTTGGAAGGGTTTCTTCTGTCTTTGGCTGGTGCTGAGCAGGAAGTGTCTCTCCATTAAGCTCATCTTTCTCTGTCACAGAGGCAGCCTCCTGTACAGCCTGCCCTGTGGCTTGTGATCTGATCAATAAGAACACAACAAGTGATGCCTGCACCTAAACAGCTATAGGATTCTTCTTGGTTCCAAAGATTTCTAATTTCTAATGTTTTAATGATAGTAATCACTTACTTTGGAACATAATTATTAGTGAAACACATTTTCACTAATTGGCCAATTACTATTCTGAGAGAGAATTCAGAGGTCTACAAACACCCAACAACATGGGGGCATTTAGCCTGATGATGCTCTTGTGACAAGAGCAAAATGTAGCTGTTTTACTTACAGTTTTGTTCCATTTAGTAATTACTATCTCTAATTACCATGACCATCATTAAAACACAAGTATGCAGCTAGTTATTTAGCCAGTGCATGGGCTCTATGTGAGCTTTCTCACACACTTTTCATTTTTATTCTGATGCACCCTCCTTTTTTTTTGCAATAATTAAGAAATAAGTTTCAAAGAATTCTTACTTGTCAAAGCTTCCTGTGTCCTTTTTATATTCCTGGAGGATTTTGTCATCCTTTTTGGTGGAATCTGTCCTCAGTTGCTGCTGTTGATGTTGTTGCTGCTGCTGTTGTTGATGATGCTGTTGTTGCTGCTGCTGTTGATGTTGTTGCTGCTGTTGTTGTTGATAATGGACAGATCCGGGGTTATCTTCAGGTAAACATGGTCTGGAAGTACGTCAACATTGCAGATCTTACAGAAAGGTTATTTCATTGTGCTTTAGATCCCTATGAAAGTGATATTTAGACAAGATATATATCATCATGTGTTTGATAATAACCATAGAATGGTTTACAACTAAACTGTACAGCTCTCCCTCTACATACACATGCATAGTGATTTTCCTCTTGTAAGGTGTCATACTAACTTGGTTACTGTTAGAGACAGCTCTACAACCTTTATAGCTAGACTAAGACCAGGTTAATATCATACTAACTTGGTTACTGTTAGTGACAGCTCTACAACCTTTATAGCTAGACTAAGACCAGGTTAATATCATACTAACTTGGTTACTGTTGGAGACAGCTCTACAACCTTTATAGCTAGACTAAGAGCAGGCTAAAGTCATATTGACTTGGTTACTGTTGGAGACAGCTCTACAACCTTTATAGCTACACTAAGACCAGGTTAAAGTCATATTGACTTGGTTACTGTTGGAGACAGCTCTACAACCTTTATAGCTAGACTAAGACCAGGATAAAGTCATATTGACTTGGTTCCTGTTGGAGACAGCTCTACAACCTTTATAGCTAGACTAAGACCAGGTTAATATCATACTAACTTGGTTACTGTTGGTGACAGCTCTACAACCTTTATAGCTAGACTAAGACCAGGTTAATATCATACTAACTTGGTTACTGTTGGAGACAGCTCTACAACCTTTATAGCTAGACTAAGACCAGGATAAAGTCATATTGACTTGGTTACTGTTGGAGACAGCTCTACAACATTTATAGCTAAGACTAAGACCAGGGATCAGGTTCAAGTCAATATATAGAATATTATATAAAGTTACACTTGAAACAAATACAGAAGTCAAGACTTATTGGAGGTAAAAGATTACATGTAGCATTGCTGCATTAAATCAGTTCATCAGGCATTTAGCAAGACACTAGCTTTTAAACCTAAAGGGAGCCCTTTTTAAGTTATGCCAAAATATCTAAAAAAGGAGTTTTTTCCCCATATTGATGGCCATGGAAAAAATATTCATGGCAGCACATTCATAGTACAGTTCCCAGTGTGTAACAGAGACTGTCCCTTACAAGTGAGAGAATAAAGATTCCTAAACATATCATAAACAGGACAGAAGTTATGCTAGGTTAAGCAAGAAAAGGTTGAAAAACATATCTGATCTTGGGATTGGCATTAACACAGCACATTATTCAATTACATGGTTCATGAAATAAAATGACATGAACGTAACATATATGACATTACAACACCAGTATATTTACCCATAGCATTTGCAACTGCTAACACAAATCATCAAAACAATGACTAGACAAAGGAATGCCATGTAAACAGCCCAACAACTGTGCTCCAAGCCTCCTATCTGCCCCACACCTCCTCTCTTGTGAAGGCACTATCAAGCTTATATCTACAGACATGCTGTTTGTGAGGAACTGGTTTTTCTTCCTCTGGTTAACCACTAAGCTTCAAGTCTTGCCTCTCTACTGGTGTATATGTAAGTCATCTGATGTATATGGAAGTCAATATGTGCTTCTCACTGCATGGTGACTGTGTGGTGGAGAAGAATTCATACCCCCCCCCCC